TTTACTCTGTGACATGGGAAGCAACCTTTGTGGTTCGCCCGAACAACTAAGAAGAATAAACGTAAGAGACTCAAAGATACAAAGATATGTAGACCACATTGTCCTTTGCACTATGTTCATTCTCAAGGCTTATCTGAGTGACATAATAGTATACTCTGTGTCTGTAGTCTGGTAGCAGCATATTCTCTGACCCGTCCAAGTATAACCAAGTTTGTAAATTCCTTAAATCTTCTTTATTCTTGAATGGTGATGGACACCTTCCAAAAATATAATTTATCTCAAAAAAATAAATTAAACCCAAAATATACACATTTTACACATACAAATTCAACAAATATAAAAAAAAAATAATAGTCACCTATTTTGCAACTTCCATGTAGAAAAATCACGCTTTACATTAATCAACCATGCAGTGTTCTTTCCCATTTGTCTGCCACTTGCAACTGTGATTAATGGTTCGCTTTTGTCAGACATTCTAGGTAAAAGTAAACACTGTAACCTGCCCTCCCACTCCAACTCCATTCGCTCTATTAAGTTTCACCAGACAGGGTTCCTTTTCCACTTGAAAAATGGCGTCCAGCTTGTAATTTACCTCCGTCTTTGTCCCAGTTTCTCGCAAATGGATCCGGACAAGTCCACTCGGTTTCCGCATCATCTCATGTTGTTTGCCAGGCGATTCCGCGAGGAGTGGAGTTTTTCCAAGTTCGGAAAAACGACAGAAAATGACCGAAGTTGTTTTTAATTGTAATAATATGAAAAATTACAAATACTTACCGTTTCACAAACTTGAAGACAATATTTAACATTTCTTTTTACCGAAAGTATTAAATTTAAAAATTACATTTTTATTCTAACAGTATGTTAAAATATATCTTATTATTAGTAAACTTTTTTACATTCACGTTTCGCAAAAACTAATGTGAACCCTAGATAGTCCCTAAAGGGTTTTGCATTGAAGTAGCATTTAAGAAATCGCCTAATAATTCGGAAATAGACTACATCCAAAGATGTCGTAACTTGTAATTAAGTAAATTGGAAATAAATATTTGAACCCATAATTGCGAAAATCCAATTGGTCCAACTTTAATAATTTCAGTGGTTAGGATTAAATCTGCTACAACATTTTTTATATATTAAGAGCATTTTTTAACGTCCGTAATGATTTTTTGTCGTCATTCTGTCATCCGTGAAGGATAAACAGTTGTTACAAAGGCTGAAACAATTAAATTCCAATGTTGCGGCATACAAAATCAGTGTCGGAGAATTTTTGGTATTATTTATACATTCGCCTGGCGACAACGTTTTTCGCAACCTTTCATTTAATTGTCGTTTTGGAAAAATGAGGCAAATTCGACCACATTTTGTTTAAAAAAAAACACAGGGAAGCTAGAAGATAATTTACTTTTTACAAAACTTCTGGATTCCTCCTGCGTCGGTTTTTGCTGAGTCGAAATTGCTGACGTTTCGCCAATCATCCTGTTGGCTTCTTCAGAGCTGGACTGAAACTGGCTCGCATTTTACTCTGTACCTGCTTCTATATTGTTTGAGGGGGACGCTAATGAGGGGTATAAACCCCATCTCGGATGACTGATTCCCAAATTGGTGACAGGTAGACACTTGAGTCGCTGTTAAGATTGTTAGATTTCTATAGACTCTCGGATTTTTCTTTGGTAGAAGAACTGATTACATGCATAAATTTTATGCCCGGTTTCATGAGTGTGTTCGACAACAGCTGATGAGTTTATTTGTCTTAGTCGTGAGGCTCTTTCGTGTTCTTTGAGCCTAGTTGATATTTTTCGTCCGGTCTCTCCAATGTATTCTTTGCCGCATATGCATGGAATGCTATAAACTCCTGGCGTCTCAAATGGAATTTTGTCTTTGACAGACCGCAGATGTTGAGAGATTTTCGGGCAAGTGGTAAATCTGGTTTTGACGTTATACTTCTTTAGAACTTTTGATATGTGGTCAGTGATGTTTTGAATGTAAGGAAGGTTCACAGTGGCAAGTGTAGGATTGCTTTCGGCCTCATTGCTATTGGAAGGTTGTGGTGAAGTGTATTTTTTAATGGAACGCTTAATATCATTAATGTGGAAATTATTAGAGAGAAGAGCAGAGGTACGGTGTTTTAATTCTGTTTTCAGTGACTCGGGCCGGGATAGTTTTTGGGCTCTGTAAATAAGAGAGTTGATAACCGATGATTTTTGGATCGGATGGTGATGTGACCATGCATTAAGGTATCGGTCTGTAAACATAATGACGCAATGTTAGGTCTGATTTTCTATTGATAAGAATATCTAAGGATGGCAGGTTATTATTAGCTTCCAACTCAATGGTAAAACGTATGTTAGGGTGTATCGAGTTTAAATGTCTAAGGACATCGACTAGGGTTTCTTGACCATGAGGCCAAATAACAAAAGTATCATCGACGTAGCGTTTCCATAATTTTGGTTTTAGATGAAAGGTGTCGAGAGCTTTCTTCTCAAAGGCTTCCATAAATATAGAAGATAATTTAGTTGCTGATGTTTTATTTTTAACTTGCTGTACCTTAGGAAATAGCAAAAAAATGTTGCATATTTGGTGAGAAGCACCAATTATATTGGAATACATTTTGAATTTAACATAGTTGATTTTGACGTTTTTAGGGAAGAAATTGGTATTAAAACCATCAATCAATCAGTGATTGTAAGCGGAAGAATAAACCAATACATTTAATGGGATCACGATAATCCACCCATGTTGAAATATCCATTCATTAGTGGGGGAGTTTTAACTTTATTTATGTTGACTGTCAGTTGGCATTGTATGAATAATTTCTCTTATTTATTTGCAGTAATTATATATGTTATAATAATAACAAACGGGAGGGGAACAAGAACTTCTCGTCCCTAATTTATTGAGCTGGGTTTTATGGATTTGAGTATGAAATGTTAGGTTTTTTTTATGAAGATACTTTGGTTTGGGCTTGGCATACTTGGTTGGTAATTTTAATTATTTTATAAATGCAGTATTTTCTGTTGAACATTTTCAAGCATTACACGTTTTGCAGTTTATAAGTCGCAATCTGAAGTATTCCATAAAATAAAAGCTCAAACACAATTTGTGGACTTTTTGTATTCCTCGTTTATTAGAGACACTCAATAACGGCAGTGATATATTGAGGTAATGTCTATGTGAGAAAAAGGATTTTAAAATACAATACGCCTTTTTTAAACAGGTAAATATGAATGTATTACACTTTAGACCCAAATTTTTGGAGGAATGTTCAAAGTTTATATTATTACTATCCATTGAGGATGTCACAGTATCGCTTACGATTTAGATTCTCAAGAGATTTTTGTTGAACAATTTAGAATTTCTTGAAAATCGGAATTAATTTGTATTGGTCAACACCGCCTCCTGGAGAAAAATAATTTTTTCAGACGCACATATTTTAATCTCCTCTTAGGTCACCTTCTGCCATAATATTCTTAAACTGGGACATCCATTCGTAATCGATGGTGATCGAGTTCAATCGGGCGAAACGTAAAGCCGTCGTCGAAACGTTTTAAATTCAAATTCGAGGGTTAACCGGAATCGTTTGGGTCTTACTTTGATGGCGGACGGCGGCGCCATTTCCATACAAATTGCGGTCGTCTAATCTATGCCGTTCGACGATAAAATCGACGGTGATTGGGATTAGGCTTGTGTTGTCTATGGTCTGCAGACACGCGCTCTAACACACTCATGTCACCTCCATGAATACACAGTTCGTCACACTTGATGAGTCCGATGAGTAATAACGTATAGGCCAAATGTTTTCAGAGTTTTAATTTCTAATAGCGCTTTTAAGTTTTTATAACATTTCGAAATTCAAAGCCCAAATTAGTTTCATCCTATGTCAATTCATAAAAGAATATTGATGGATAATCCGAGGTCTATTGTTGAAGGCTTTAAATTTTTTTTTGAAAAATCTTGCTCACCGAAATATACTCTTTAGCATATTCTAGTTAATCACTTGTTCACGTAAAAGAATTTCTGAAGAAACTGTTAAGCGGTCTATGAAAAATATGAAATATAAAACGACTTCGGGTTATGACCATATACCACAGTTTTTAGAGCGGGCCTGTAGGCATCGTACTTTTATTTTTAACCTTGCTGCTACATTTGCAGATATCTGGCAATTCGCAAATCCTACCCAATAGACAAAACTAACAAGAATGGGAATATTACAGCCTGTTACAAATTTAGCAAATTTTTCAGAGTTGAGCTCATTGAGATCGTGGACAAAGTAGGACAGGTAAACGACGTCGTATATACCGACTTTTCGAAGACCTTTGACCGGATAGACCATAATTTATAAAATTAACCAAATCTATTGGCAAAATGGTGCAAAAACGCCAAACTTTCATTAAATGTAGCTAAATTATAAAGTTTTACCTTTTTGCGAATCTGGGGTTGTTTTGATCCGAAACTAAACTTTAATAATTTGACCGTTTCTTCAATGCGGAAATGTTGGGCTTTATTACTAGAAACATAATTGAAGCGCTAAAATTACTTAATTTTGTTCTAGTTCAGTCCAGGTTGAAGTTTCTTAAAATTACCCCTATTGAAAATAGATCTCGAGGTGTAAGAGGAGGTTCCCAAATTCGGCATCTCATCTTTAAAAACTCGAAGGGACAAGGCTGGGAAAACACAATAGTGTTTTTTTCTTACTATCAAAATTAAACTCTAAAATCTTATATTTGGGGACAATGTGTTTCATTGACATAGCTTTAGATTTGGGATTTTGCTGTTTCTCTACAAATAAAATTAGTTTTTTTACTTATCATAGTATATATTATTTATATTTAATGTTTGCATTAAATTAAATTGTTATGCTTTGGTTATCACCACAGTCTAAGGGTATAGTTCAAAAGCGTCAAAATTCAACATGAGAACTACAAAATGTGTTTTTAAAGAACAATGTATATTACGCTCCATTTGTGATTATTGGATGTGGACAATAGCAGGAAAAACTTTCACTAAAGTTTTTTTTGGACTAAACGTGTTTTTGGGTTTTGAGAAACGGCACTTCTTTATTTTGTTTATTTGTTCATCACGACTTATACAGAGGATAAGGTGATGTTAAATTTCTTTATGATATTTTTTCAAACGCCTCGTAAAGAGATCGTCACGGCCAAATGTATTCGTGAAATAATTGCTTTCGTATTTATTTTACAAAAACTAGGACAATAGACGCCACTGTAGAATTTCGTTGCAAATGACCAAATCTCCATTATTCCTTGATTTTGGCCAGAATGTCCGGTTCGCGAAATACGAAATAAACTTCGTCTTCCATTTCAACTCTCGTTCCCCCGTAGTCTGGTAAAATAACTTCATCTCCGGGTTTAAGGCAAACAGGAATTTGTTTGCCATTTTCTGTTCTGGTGCCAGGCCCAACAGCAATTACCGTACCTACGACAAGAATCTTAAGGTTTTATTTTGATTAACTGATAGCTGCCAGAGTACAAACTTATAGCCTAAAAAATAAACTGACAATAAATAACATAAGATTTAAACTAAATGCGAAATAAAACACAATATGACGATGATCGACTCTAGTGATCTAAAATATTTTGGTAGATGCAATGTAGCCGCTTCTAACAATAACATATATCTTCTGATTATTTTTGCTTAATACCTTCCTAACTAGTGCGCTTTTCGAAATATTAATTATTTATAATATTTCCTCACAAGAAATTGATATCACTAAAAGTTAAGCTTGGTCGCGAATCCATAGTATATAGAGTCGTTTAAAATTAGTGATCCTTATTTAGTTGAAATAGAGAACATAAGTATTGTTTAAAATTCTGAAAGATACTTCAATATACTCACAAAGCGTCTTTCACGCTGTATGATCGCCAATATTAAGCGGTTTCAGAGAGGTTATAGCAAAAACCCTAGAAACCCTCTGTTTTCTAGTTATTTACATGTGAGATTATTGAGTTGAATACTTTTTCTAATGAAATTTGGACGTGAATTATTAATGTTTTAATGGCAATGGAGAACACTTAACATAAGCAAGAATATAAAATTTTGTGACAATTCATATTAATGCAAAATTCGGTGGCGTCTTAAAAAGGCGTATCTACTGTTGACAATTGGAGCTTTATAAAATAACCGCTAGAGGCGCTAAGATTTAAAATGTCTAGTTTTCTTACAAATATAATCTTTAACAAATTTTTAAATATCTTGCAGGTATTTTATTCTCTCGATCAGCGTTTTGTTGGACCAAAATCACTCTCACTCACTACTATATATGTACTATATATCGTCTCTTTCTGTTTGGAGGTCGTATATTATTATATTAACCAGGATGGTAAAGGAAAACCGATGTCTTAGGGATATGTGTTCATGAAAATCGACTTGACACATTGAATAGCTAAGGTAGAACTTTTTCAATTATGTTTTCGGATATATTACCGCACGGCTTGAATTTTGACGTTTTTCAATTCTGATGGTCATCAAAAACTGACGGTTATAAAAAAAATATAATACGTGACTCAAATACCGTTCACTTTACTTTACTTCGAAGTGTTTTCGGAGCGCGAGCATTGAAGATGTCAAGTGAGATTTTGGCGAAACGTCTGCAGGATTCCAGTCGGAGTTCAACAAGCGAACGGATGATATCCCGGAATATAGTGTCATAATATTTTTCCATCCGTGAATCAATACGTGAAAATTATATATATATATATATATATATATATATATATATATATATATATATATATATATATATATATATATATATATATAATATATATATATATAATATAACAACAGCAAACTTAGCATAAACTTTACTAAACCTATTTTTAAATCTTTTAGTTGCTATAGCAATAAATTACCATCATATAATACTCTTAAGTGTCAACTCCTCAACTCGAATAGCTTTGACATCAAATCTTGTAATTAATTTAATTATCACCACATTAAATATATCACAAATATACTTAACTAAATCTAAATAAATAAATAAAAAACTAAATCGCATTTAATTTACGGAATTTTAGCATGGGGTGGGTTAACAAATAAATATTTAACAACCAGTAATATTTCACATAAATGGATTTTAAAAATTATGTATAAAAAGGGATAGCTGTTATCCAACAACACAATTGTTTAATGAATCGGGTTTGCTCGATGCAAGACAAGTTTATTTTTAAAAAATGGAAGTCCAAATCTCTTTAAATAAAATTCAAATTAGAAATTATGAACATCCTTACTCTACCAGAAACAGAATGAACCAAGGCACTGTCATACTGTAAAACAATAGTACAGAATTTGATCCATTCATCATCCTTTATTTGCTTATGATTATTTTCTAGTTTTTGTACCTACATTTGCTCTGTATGTTTACTAGGTTGAAATTAGTAATCTAAGAGTTATTATTTATTTACTATGGACAAAATCCAAAATTATTAATGTTTTTTCTTTTCTTTTTACAGCATTTCTTTTCTTTTTTTTTGTTTTACCAAAGAATGTCTTCAAGGCTAGTATTTGGAATAATTTCAAGTTGTCCAAGTAGTTTATAGGTTAGTTAATGATATCCTGGGGAAGTATTCAGTATGTATGGTCTTTTTACCACCTGCGAGGTTACTCTTGTAGAATAAAAGTTGTATTTATTGTTTTCCGGGGTATCGAACTTATCTTATAAAATTGTATTTGTATTTTAAGACAATAAATACTATATAATAATAATAATGATATTCTAGCTTGCGGAAAGTGTCATTTTTCTACGTTAGTTTCGTTTCACTCGGATCCGAACCACTTCGGACATTTCCGGGATATTACCGCACGGGTGTGGGCGTAGACGGATGTTTTCGGAGATATTACCGCTCGGCTACAATTTTGACATGTCAAACGTCGCTCCATGTTGATTTGCAAAAATGCCCCAAAAAATAATGGTCTTACAGTATGCAACACGTTTGTGTTGCATGCTGCGCTCGTGACTGAAATGCCGTTTACCACACTTGTTACATAATATATCATTATGGTCTTGGAATGGCCTTCCTTCTACCATTATATTACGCCGTCAAGTAAAATAAAATGTTAAATGTCAACGTTACCTCTCGAAATCCTACTCTTGGGATTCTCGGGCAACACAATCCCACCTTTGGATTCCTTGAGAGGATCTGCGCGCTTTACCAGAATCCTATTGAAAAGCGGGAGAATGCGCCTTAATTTCTGGGCGCTTTTTGGAAGAGTGGCGGCTTGATACGTCATCTTTACCTACGCGGAAATTGAGGATGTTTTGACGGATGATATTTTTTTGACAACACGCTCGTATGACTGACAGGGATTATCGACTGATTTTTTTTTTGAGCGGTTTAAAAAGAAGTTACCTGTCTAACTATAGAAACTTTAATTCTCAATCGATACACCATCCCCAATATTTTTAATATATCTGCATTTCAACTAAAGTAACTAGTTTTTTTTTAAGGAACCGACCAGAGGAAATACCTAATAATATTAACCAGAATCGCATGTGTTACATGATTTTTTTTTGAAAATTCAAGAACCTTTAAAGTTCTGGCATATGTAAAAATAAATAATATAGGGATACAAAACATATAAAACTAAATAACATTCTGCATATTACATTTTTGTGAACCAGGTGTATTTTTAAGAATATTTTTTCATAGATAGGCAAAAGTTGCTCGAAACATTATTTCGCAAATTAATCGAGATTTTCATGATGCAATTTATTGTCGCAATTATAAAAGTTCCATGATCTTGAGTTGCAGTTGCATCAAATTAGAACTTGTTTCAGGAAAGAATTTGCTCCTACTTGGTATTTTTCTTAGTGTCCATTAAAAATTTTTGAACGTTTTGAATTTATTGAAATTGCTTTAGAAAAATTAAGTTTTAAGAATTAGGGAAGTAAGTTAATTTCTTCGCACTTTATGAACTTCATTTGGGTGGGGTAATTCGGATAATCAACACAGAATGAGGTGACGTAATTTGTTGAAAGTGATATTCAGTAACATATGAAGTTATTCTTTGAAGGTCGGTTATTTTGTACAATCTTGTTTTTGTTTGTGGATAATGTCCGCTTGTAAATAATCATGCAACAATTTGCAGCATTTAGAAGATCTAGCAAGCAAATAAAGCCCAACGTCCGGAAACGAAAACAGTATTTTGGGTTAATTTACTAGACTTCTTCCTTTATTTTGTCCTGAGGCTCATACCACAGAACAAAATGTTTCATAGAATTGGAGTTAACCTTACTTGCTGCTCTCACAACACTCGATAAACGCAGTCGAAGATATACTAATAAATAGATTTATTGCTGATCATTTAATCTCTCAAATTATAGGATCAGTATTCCACAATTATAATCACCGGTTAAGCGACTTCAAACGAAATTACCACGCAACTTGTTGACAAATGGCGAATGCCTTGCAACAGACCGTATTTCGAAAGCAAATAATGACGTAATTATCAAAGTTTGCTTCGAAATAGGTTATTTGCCTTGGGTGTTTGCCAGTGGAGGGAAGGCGGGTGACTTTTGCGAAAACACTGGCTTCAGCGGAATTGCATTTTATTGGGTTAATAATGCTTACTTCTGCAATTTATGCAGTACGTTTAGCTAGAGAACAATAACGTAATAAGGGTTGGTTTTGCATTCTGATAAGGAGAGCATGATTTCTAGAACAGAGAATCAGAGGTCACTACATTTCTAGCACTTTGTGCCCGACGATTAATATATATATATATATATATATATATATATATATATATATATATATATATATATATATATATATATATATATATATATATATATATATATATATATATATATATATATATATATATATATATATATATATATATATATATATTGTATATTTATTTTCATACACAACTTTCTTTACTGTGGAATACTCTGACCTGGCATCGCGCCATAATTATAATCAGAATACCATCCTTATCGCAGAATGTTTTCCAGTAATATAACTGTAATGTCATCAAAGGTACAGGTCGGTATCATTATAGTTTTTATTCCCTGTGATGTTATAGCTATCGCTGCCCTCTTCGAGATTCGCCAATAATTCAATTCTAGAATAATAAAAAATATTCAATATTCATATTGTTTTCTTAAAAGAATACCTCCAGTAATATTTTGATTGTAATGTTGTCATTTAAGCAACTAATAAGAAACGCAAAGAACGCAAGAATAAGCGGTAAAAAGGTCTACTTCAACCAGAAATATAGTGCTTTTACAACCCACAACTTTGCCTATTGTTTATTAATCCAAAACCGCAGCTCCTTATGCCGAGCAGACCGATCAGTCACTTAAAAAATCGTCACTGTCGCTACTGTCGTCACCTAGTTCAATGATCCGCCACTAATCGTTCTCGATAAATATTTTCTTCTTTTATTCCTCGTTTTTCACAGTTAGACTAGATTTGAACTGATATTTTAGCTACCTCTGGCGAATAACGTTTATGGTACTATTACTAAATTTCGGGTTAAATATATAATATAATCTCAAGATTTCATTTCCGTTTTGTTGTACTATCGTATCGATTTTGTAGTCTTTATTGAAATATTTTATTTTTAATAATTTCAGAAGTTATTTTTTCGTGTACCCCTCTTCAAAATATAAATAATTTTTGTACAGAAATTCTTTAATTTCTTCTTTATTTGAAGAAGTATTTGGAATTTGGAATACGAGGCATTATCCAACACAATAACAGTATTTGGCGATAGTTTTGGCAACAGTTTATTTTGAAACCAGTTCTCAAATATTTCAGCAGCCATGTTTGCATGGTAATCCACAGTTGAATCTTTGACGTTTTATTTTTTATACTTATCAAAGTTTGACTTTGAAATTCGGCGATACGCGAAAGACGCCTTATGCAGGGTGCACAATATCATTACATCGATTTTGTAAAAGTTCCATAGTGGTCCGCAGGAACACCATAAAAAACGATGCCTCTCTCTAGGACAAGGAACGACAAAGCGGCTTCTTTTTGAAATTCAATGCTGCTTCGCGCTACCCGCTACGAACTTGCCCCGCCCAGCGACAATTTTTCGAAAGCAATCTTGTTTTTATTGTTGCTCCTACTTCCCCTTCTGCATTTCTTATAAAATTGTAACCATTCAAAACAATTTGTTTAGCATCCGAAGACAAATAGATTCGTTTTTTTATTTGCTGAGGTAGTTTGTCTTATAAATTGTCATTAGGGTCCACTACCATTTCCAGTTCATCTTCAAATTATGACAAAAATTATTATTTTCAAACTTACCTGTAGGATAAATGGAGTACAGGTACTTACCCTTAACCTTGGAACTATCCAGTGAAAACAGCCTCGCAGGGTCAAAGCTCGAGAATCAGGTATGTTCTGTTCATAGATATAAGAAAGTGACCAATTGATTTTGAATGGGATTATCCAACGGTGGTCATTAACATACAATACAACAAGATTATTACCTGTTAATTTGTTTCGGTTACGCAACAAATTTGTGTATAAATTTGTTGGTACCAATCTGTAATTCCAAGATCACTCTGGTTCCCCGAATCCGAAGTAAAATGACCGTAATCATGCCCTGACTTACCCCAAATTTCCTTGTGGAGGATGTGCTGGGTTGAAGGGAATGCGCTGCACGGTTCTACCGGAGGGTTCGACTCTTGAGGGTGTTGCACACTGCTTTTCAAAACAGGTGTTCAAATTTCCGACTCGCAACGCGCAATTCTCGATTCCGGGACGGCCGCTCGCGAAGTGCCGGAGGTAGGTAAAAATGGAGTAACAAAAAATGCATATATAAAAGAAGAAAAGGTTTCCCGGGAATAAAGGAGGGAGAACAAGACAGAGTATACAGTTGTCAAGGCATGTATATACGCACAAAATAATAATAATTAAACTATATCCCGAAACCCAAAGCACTTCCTAAAGTGAATGAATACCACCCAACGTAAACAAAAAAATCATTCGTAAAGTTCGTAAAAGTAAGATAAAAAAGAAAAGAAATACAAAAGTAAATGGAGACAAAACACCTGTAGTTTCGGAATTTAAATTCAGGTAAAATTGTGGTCCGCAATAGAAAAGAATTTTATACCTACCTGTGTTTAATATTGTTTGGTTTGGTATACTACTTATGCAAATTATGCAAAATATGTATTTTATTTTAGATTTAAACATAAATACATCCATAAATAAATAAATATTGTTTAGTGTCTTTCCTAACAAAACCTCAAATAATTAAATTCTAAGCAAAGTGCGGACCTGTTCGGCCATATTTCGTTCTTACAGCTTGCCCGGGTCTTTCCTTAATTCGTATCAGTTAGTCACTTTCTTATATCTATGAACAGACTTTACTGTAAAATACTTAAAACGTCAAAACAATAAATGCACTATATTTTGTATATCAGATTTTGCAGTTGAGCCATTTCTTTTTACATTAGCGCGAGTATTTATACCTTCCTTCCGTTTCTGTTCGGTACGATTTATTTGGTAAGTTCGGAGTTAATCACGCGATGTAAAATTAATGGGCATCAAATAAGGACAAATTACTTGGTTCTAACTGAACATCATTTGCCGTGTTTTCCCTCGGAAAGTTTTCCTATTGAGCTAAGTCAACAGCAAGTAGTTCAATCCGAGACAAATGTGCCGCGGTAATCTATTAAATCGGCAATCTACGAGTTCTCCAAGATTCCCACAATGTCAATTTCTCTTAAGTAGAAACTTTAATTCGAACTTCCCCGAATCATAATATATTGACGAGTCGTTAATATTGACGGTGTCTCTATTTTCGTTCCAAATAGTTTCTAGTTATAGAGACGCCTTGCTTATGCTGGTAATAGCATTGGATATCCAATCTGAGCATGCCTTGCCAATATGGCCACTGATAATTCGTCAATTCGACAGTCTTTAGTCTAAATGTATTTTTTGCGCTAAATTTTCACTGTTAAAACGAGTGGAGTTCCCTCTAATAGACCCGATCGCGATTTTGTTGCAAATTTTATTTAGATGGAGACGGGTGTAGCGGATATTCTTTTCTTATACGTTAATAGTAATGAGAGATAAGAGTAAATTGAAATTATTTTATATTATTTCTCAATTTGTTTGCTTTTTTTGGGATTAAATTATTTATTAGCGGATACTTTTTGAAACCATTTATGCAAAAACTTACGGCATATATTTTTTAAAGTTTATTTAGCAATGTTTGCCTCTTGCAGTTTTTTCATAACACTTACTGTCTCCAAATAAAAAATCTATAGCAATTCACATCCAAACTAAATTATTTTTCAATTTTTTTTGTCCTTGACATGCAATGCTTTATATTTTATTTTTATTTGTAAGTTTAATGAAAAAATTGCAGGTAACAAAAAAGTTTCTAATAAAACCGTGTATCGAAATTTATTATTTGCTTAAGGAGAATGATGAAAGTAAGTCCAGGGGATTACTTATTTTTACAAAATAAAAAAATATGCAGAATGTATGTTTTTAAATTAATAATACCTCCGTAACATTTTATTGGTTTATCTATTTTAATTTTTAAGATAAGAAATAAAACTCTTACTTTTCCGCCATACTTGTAGTGTGATATCTCTCTAATGCCTTTTGCCTTTTGACGCAAGGGTTTTATAACAAATAACCCTACAAGGAAACTCCCTTTAAATTTTGAGGCACCTTTTATAAATAGAATATGTAAATAGTGTATTTATACATTTATTATTTATATACAAGTCAAACAATCTATATTATATAAATGAGCAAGATTAAGGACCACCCCACTGTTAGCTATCTCTTTCTACCTTAGAATTTGCCTCACTTTTGTAACTAAATGTATATAACGGATGTGCAAATGAAAAGTTAGTAAATAATAACGAGATAACATCCAAACATTCACGAGGTAACGAAAGTTAAATGGAAAATTGCTTCCAGCCCGGTTATAATTTAACAAAAAATTGCCGCGTCAATAATGCGCCCGCCAATCGAACAGCCGCGGACGAAATGGATAATAAAGTTTTCACATTAATTATTTCGAACTGAAAAGTTCGCGTGTTTTCACCGGTAAAACTCTATCGATCGAAATTCGTCCAGACAGTGGCGAAACCGCACTCTAGTTGACGGATATGGAAGGAATTAATTTTCATTGGAATATCTCGCATTTCTAACGTGGTAACTTGTAACTTGGAATTATCGCTCATGGTAAGGTATACTAGATTTTTGGGTCCTTTTTAAAACGAAAATTTTTTGAGTTACAGGCCGTTGAAGTTTTCAAAAACAAAATATATTTTTCAGCATATAAATTCGGCACACATGTACTATGTATCAAAGGCATTATTTAGTGTAAAACTGGACACCTGTTTATTTTGACAGACATTGATGGTACGCCACTGATTTGTCTTAAAATGAAAATTATTCTTACAATCTTCAATTATTTCCAAAGAAATTTGATTTCTTGATTTTTTCCAATCCGATATACGGTTTTCGCTGAAAAAAAAATCTCCTCTCGGCATAATCATTTCGTTAATAGGACAACATGCAAAGAATGATTATTATCATTATTATTTCTTACTTAAGTAATTGTCTAACTGTTTTATTAAAATACTTGAAAAAATCGAAGTAGGAAGACGACGTGTATTTTTGAAATCTTTAAACTCCTTTCTGTAAGAAATATTAATTTTGTTGTTAAGGCGGTTGATTGACATCAGACTGCAAGAATTTCAGAAATTGAAGAAGCAGTTTTAAATTCTATCGATGGAAATCCTGAACTATATCTCACACGTCTCGGTTTGGAAAATTTTGACGATTTTCTATTGTAGCCATATCATATTCAAGGAGTCCCCAAGCGTTACGACCATAAAATCTGTCGATAATCGTACAAATGATTTCGCATTTTTTTTTTATGTATTTAAAAACGAATTATTCCATCAATCGAATTTTCCATATAGTTACCGACATTTTCTCTACAAGTTAAATAGAACATAATAGAAACTCTAAAACTGACAAAAAAGTGTTTTATAATACATAAATTGTGTGTGCTTAAATATAAAGTAAAACATTTTTTCAAATAAACGTCAAAACACGACAAGAAAAGAACATAATACTTTGTGAAACTGCTAAAAATTGAAATACTAAATTGGCTGGAATACGCTAAATTAAAAAAAAACTTATTACGTTCCTTTGATTTTTTATTGTATTCTTTTTAACCTTATGAATGTATTTTGCCAAAAATACCATCTCTTTGTTGTAAACCAATCTGAGCCTTTCGAAATACCCTTTATTGTTGTCTATGACGGCAGTACCGTTTTGGCATCACTTGACATGCACATGACAAACAATTTTGTAACGGATTTTCAAAATCACCATGTCTTCACAAAATATTTGCATGCTAGCATCCGATCACTTAATCAGCAGCGACGAAGAATCAGGTAGCGAAAAAATGCTTGAACTAGCGTGCCAGCAGACATCTGAACCATTACTAGCCGTACTGGACGACAAAAACAAAATTATAAATAACTTGATAAGGCAGAACGAAAACCAGAAAATGCAACTTTCGTATTATCTAAAAAAAGAGTTCGGATCGCACAGAATCGAGGAATTATCACACTCGGTGAGTCGATATTACGTTGTCAATTCCAGCACACCATCGTAACCGCCCTAATAACTTTCAGTGCGCGCCGCAGGCCTGCGAAATCAGTCTAGCAGTAAATTTGGCGCTAAACAAATTTTGTCGGCAGGCAGGCCTCAAAACGAAATTATCTCGACTACACGAACGTATGAGTCAGCTAGACTATCAAGTAGCTAGCTCGTTAGGGGACCAGGAATTCGTGCTCAGGAGAATAGTCAGCAATCTGTGCGAACATGTTCGTCAACAGGCTAGTATATTTTTAAATATTAAAAATCCAAAAAACAGATGTTCGATTTGATCAAGTGTGTGGTCATGTGTACTAAAAATATCTGCGGAATTCTGCTAATTGAGAGACCTATAGGGTCTACAAAGTTACAACTGATACTCTATGGGACGAAATTGATGAAAAATATGAACGTGTTAAATGTTAAATAAAGATATATTAATTGTGGTTCGAAAGCTCTCTGAAAACCATGAGTGTCGATAAGGGTGGGTGAAAGAAAATGATTTTTTTTGGACCTGACACACAAAATATAGTTGCTAGAAAGTACTTACCACGTATGAGCTTTTAGTGTTAATGGGAAGATTATCCCCATAATAGTTTTACATTTTCGATTTACTCTCATTTATAAATAATGATATCTTGTCACCAATAGATCATTAAACCAATTTTATTGATAATTTATTTGATGATGCTGTTTCACGTTCCAGTCGATATAAAAAAACCCGAGGTAGTATAAATTCTAGGATTAAAAATTTTGAGATCGCTCAAAAGAATATCAATTCGATTATTCAAAAGGATTTGAGTGACTTCGTTTCTCAAAAATTATTGAATTTATTCAAAATCTTTGATGATGTTAATGTTGACATTGCATTTTGGGCTTCAGATGAGAGTTTTAAGGAAACTGAAGAGTATTTCAAAACAAGTAAAAGCTGTAAATGACGCAGCAGAGAGTGGAGTAGCATTGGTGTCTGAATATAATCAGTGTTTGACGAAAAACGCAGAACAGTTTCAATACTTGCTGCAAGTTGTCAAAGAACATCGAGGACTATTTCCTGACTGTAATAAAAATCCATCTGGATAACTAAATCTAAGAAATGTATAATTTTCTATTAATACTGTATTAAGGTATAAAATTTCATATGGTGGAACAGAATTCTTTTTCTATTAATGCATTTATTGATATTTTTTGAACTTTTTTTTTTAAATAGATAATAAATATTTAAATATATTGACAATTATTCGAGTAATCGATAATCCACAGAGACCTTTTTTTAGAGGATTTAATTTACTATAAGAATAATTGAAAACATTTCATGACAATTATTTTTCAGTCAATAACAAAATTCAGAACAAAAAGGTATTTTCCTTTAAATTCTTCAATCTTGAACCTCTAATATCTTTGAAACAGTCCGATTTATCGAAAAAGTATAAGAGGCCATTTTTGTAGAGCGTTCAGTTATTAATAAATATATAAATATATCGATTTTACAAAACTGTAATGAGGATAAGCTTCCCATTAATATTAAGAGCTTATACGTGGTAAGTACTTTCTATAGGTAACTAGCAACTAGTTTTTGTGTGTCAAATTAAAAAAAAATAATGGTTTTTTTGACCCACCCTAGTATATGAGAAAATTTAATGCATTTTAACGCTTTGACTGCCACGTCAATTTTCAGAAATCTGGCCAAAAATTACGCATATATTTTAGCATGTTGTCTAATTAATAGCTAATTCCATGAGTATCAAAAAAATAAAAAATCATCAAAAATTTTTTTTAACAAGGGCTTGCGAATTATCTCGCAGAGGGCTTTTTGAATCGTTTTTTAATAAGTTTTCTGTTTAAAAGCCAGAATTGATTTTTTTGTTCTTTTGTAGCTGGATAAGAATTGCAAGTAAACACAGTACGAGATAACTCGTAGTTGACGTCCTATAAAAGAAAGTCATCTACGAATTATCGTTTAGTTGGCAGTCAACGTGTTAAAAATGTTTTCTAGAGCGCGCGTTCCGTAAAAGCGTCGCAATAGAAAAATGCGTTTTTCAGAAAAGGACTTTCGATATATTTTTTATATCATGATTTCTCCAAGAAATGTGAATTTACTGGGAAAAAAAAAGAAAATGTTTCAGAAAACATAATTTCCGCACTGTCTATAATATAAAAAAATGAACCTTAAAATAATCAGTATCAGTTCTTACATAATTCAGGGAAAGTTCCAAAAAAAATTGACGAAATTTAAACCAATTTTTCTTTATCAATTACAGTTTTTCTGTATTATTCATTTTTATTAATCCTATACAAAAATCGTCAATGTCAACTATGTTTTTTGAACTATCACATTCCTTTTCTTTACTTACTCTGAAAATCTTCCTCCATTTTAAAAAATATTTGTCTAGGGGACATTGTTTGGGCGTCAGACACCCAAGACGTAATTTCAATTTCATTAATTTATTTTAATTAAAAACTAAAATTGCTTGCAATTAAAACATGTAGCACCATTTACAAGCGTTGTTTTTTTATGCGTCAGATTGCAAATGGAGAAAAACCGATTTGGCGGTACTTAACTGCTTCCCAAGTGGACCTCTTCGAAAAATTGCTAGACGCTACACTGAGTTTAAGGCGAACTTTGAACAATTTCAGAATTTGCTGTGACAGACTTATCATTGTTGAAGAGGAACGGAACAACGTAGGTCAGTTGGAAATAATAAAGAGGGGGGTGGGGAGGTTGTATAAGCAAGGTCTTATGGGCATAAGTCTTGCACCAGTTGTTATTTAAGAAAAACGCAAAAAACAAATTGGTTAGCCTTGCTTTATTTTATTTTATTTTATTAAAGCATTTCGACTACTGTCAGGTTATTTATCGTGTTTTGCGACAAATTGACCTCTTCTTCTTGAACGGCAATAATACATTGGTGAGAAAATATTTTTCTCCCTTTTCTAATAATCTATATAAACAGAATTATTACCAACAACTAAGAACATGATCCGATTCCGAATCTTGTCTCATCTTCCTTACATATTATACAATCCAGCACCAGCAAATCTTCTAGAAATCGTCCAACTTGATATGACTGGATGATACGTACTTCTGTACCCAATAAAGCGATCTAGTATACGATCTGGAAACCCATAGGAGTTACGAAAAAAAGTCCCATACAAAAGTTTCTTGGACATTCCCTTAAGATTTAAAATATTATAATTTTGTTGATACGGGGTGTCCCAAAAGAGTCCCACCCGACATCAAATGTGTATTGTAGAGGATTAGCAATATATTGAAAATATATTACAGTATATTTTTCAGTTTTTTTAGTTATTTGTTTCTTTTTTCATAGATTTATTTATTCAAATTTGTTACCTTGTTTAGTTAGTGTATTAACTTTAAATATTTATTTTTGTTATTAGGTATTTTCAATCCGGCTAGACAATTTAACTATTAAATATTTCTTTAAATATGAATTCTGAAGTTTTCTTAAGTCTGTTAAAGTGTGTAGTATAGAGTCTTTTTTTTTAATTTCCACGTATTAATGGACCTGTGTTGTTAGCAATAGGTTTTATTCATATATCTGGAGTATTATATCTTTAAAAGAAGTCTTTGCTATTTGAAAAATACCTAATATTGCCAACAAGTGGCCAGATTTAAATTCAACAAGAATGTGTTATTTTAAACCTCGAATATCTCAAAAAGTATGTGAAATTTAAATATAAGATAAATTGCAAACCTATCTTATTTTTTGTCCTAGAATTGATATCTGAATAAAAATATAGGGTGTTATCTTGAGATTTTGTTAATTGAATTCGCCAAAACGGCACCACCTATTTAGGATATCCTGTATAAGCTGAGGCGCACCTGTCAAACTGATTAAGTAGTGCATCATTTCCTTAGTCTGTGGTTAAGTTTTTGTTGCAATGCCTGTCTCAGTAGCGTCACAACACAATTTTATATGGGGCAATCAAAACATGAAAGAAAAAACATAACCTCAATTTCTGCCTAAACTATGCAAAATTTGAATAGGAATTTCTTAAAAAAGGTACTTTTATTTTAACCAATGGTTCCAAAAATGTCGAAATATATACGGTGTTCCATTTAAAATAACAAAGTCGATGTAGGGTGGGACACTGGGACACCCTGTTTCAACAAAATTATAACATTTTAAATCTTCGGGAGAGTCCAAGGAAACTTTTTTTCGTATCTCCTATGGGTTTCCAAATTGTATTATTTGGCACGCGGTGTACGTTGAAATTTTTGAGATTGTAGTTGTGGAAAGAAGGCTCCGAGTAGTGACGTGTTGAGCAAGGTCAAACGGTTCTGGCGATTATTCTTAATTCTTCGTTATATCTTTTTCGACCAGATCTGGGACCGGAAGCAACGTCTTTTGTTTCTATATACCATGACGGTATGTAATCGGCCAGCGAGTAGCTATCAAGAAAGACATTTCATTAAACACAGACACTGCAGGACTTGCCATTCTGAAACTGCTCGCAATGCCAGAAAGATGCGAAAGTCTTCAGTGCCTACGTTGTTTACGAATTATTTTAAGCATTTTTTAAACAGGTTATGCTGCTAATACAGTAATAATCAACAGGTGTAAGACTTTTACCAATGGGCATATATTACATACAGACAGACAAATTGGAATTGAGATTCTAGACAATTTCATTTCGGCTCTACCCAGAAACAAAAAGCTGGCCTTAAGTAATACACAAAATATGTATTAATTAGAAAAGTCAAGACGACGTTATTAAGCTGGCCGCGACAGTTTGACTTTATAAAATGCGAAGCACAAAAATTAGAGTTGAGTTTGAATTTAAAATTGACTTTCTAGCGGAACAAGTTTACTCGATGCCTGTCGACCAGCGCGCGAACTGTAATTATTTGCTCGAGATGGAAATGGAAAAGGCGGAATTGGAAAAGGAAATTAAAAAAATAACGCGACATCACGTCGCAACCGAAGAAAGGGTTAAAGAATTGGGCTTAGTAGAGGGACTGCTGTGTAATTTGCAGTGGAACTTGAACAATCCGCTACAAGATAAAAACGAAGGTATGCTTGGCGGTGGTATAATTAAGGTCGTTCTCAACAACATTTTTAGCGGCTACCTCACACTAGGCGACAGCTGCATTAGGGAAGACTTTCATTTGCTAAACTACTGGAGTCTTATTTACGTCACTGTAGTTCATACCTGCGGTTTGGTCCTTGGTTTCCGTTACCTAACGCACCCCTAAAAACAGTTTTTTGCTTGCCAGTGCGTTAAAGTCAATATTGGTCTCGGATCTTTTATAGATTTTCTTGAATGATTGAAACTATATAAAGAGTTCCCAAAATGGTTTACCAGAGAACCACTTTAATGAAAAGGACAATTTCACTTTACTTAACTCTTTTGTTATTCGACGACCCACATATCTTGGTTTATAAATCCAATTGTTCTTGCCCAAGTCATGTGAGCGTTGCAAATGTATACTGTTTATCTTGGTATTAACTTCAACATCAACTATAAGAGCGGTGCGTGTTATGGGCAGCATGTATATCTCACTGTCTTTTTGATATGTCAAAGACCATCGACTGTGTCAATCATTGTTTGTTATTGCAAAAGTTGTCTACTATGGGTTTGTCAGAGCCCGTCATATCTTTTTTCGAACCGTATTTTACTCATCGCTGTCAAAGAGCGAGCGTAGATGGTAGTACCTCTGCTTTTTTACCCCAGTATCACGGTGTCCCGCAAGGATCAGTGTTGGGTCCGCTCCTTTTCTTCATTTATGTAAATGATTTTGCACATTTTATTAAGCCCGTCAAGTGTACGTTATTTGCAGACGACACCACAATTATCTGCGGAAGTTCGTCTCTAGAGATACTAAACAGTAGATGTAATGTTGATGTTAATATAACGAAAGGAACGAGCGTCACCCTGATCGGTATCGCTATTGATGGTAGATCGAATTGGTATGTTCATATTGACTCCCTCTGTAAATCATTATCATCCGCTGTTATTGTCTTTTAATACCCAAGTTATGAGAAGTGTGTACTTCGTTTTATTTCACTCTAAAATGCAATATGGGCTCACCATATGCATTCAAAGCGTTTCGTCTTCAAAAAAACTTTCTCCGATTTTTTCTTGCTTTGGACTATAGAGAATCCTGTAGAACAAAAACATTTTCCCACTATTTATATTATGACTTTACCACCTACTTTCATATACAATGACCCAATCGAGATTCACTCTAATAAATCAAGCTTTTCTGTTTAGTCTGACACTCATTCCTACGCAACGCGTAATGCTAGTTAATGATTCCCCGATACCGCCTTAATAAATATGATGTAATATAAAACGCTTTAGTAACAATTTTTTTAGAGCGCTGTCAAGCATCTACTGACAATAAACTGTATTTACAGTACTGATGAATACCTAAATTTCAAATTTTAAACCTCTGTAACCTCTCTACTTTGTTTCGTGACTGAAGTTTTTAATACTTTTCATATATTGCTTTATTATCATTTGTTTATTATGTTTTGACTTGCTATACATACAACTTATATTCTGCGGTTAAATAAATAAACCTAAACCTAAACCATATAGGGAAAATGACATTGGAACAGTAAAGTCCATTTTTATAGCATTTTCTTTGCACATGCCGAAATATTTTTGTATTTGCGTACTACTAGTATTCTAGAATGAAAGTATCAAATGTTTGTTTCTCAGGGCTGGTATAATTCGAAATCTCGACCTGCAATGATAATATGAGCGAAACAAGGCTATTTTGTAAATTCAGGTCACTAAAGATTAAAAAAACTATCACTGGCACAAGTTTAAATGCATGCTATGCCTGTGTCTAGTTGGTTATATACCAGTTTATTCAAACATTTTTTGTGACATCTGAGATTAGACCATATAGCAAGAACTGTTGTATGGAAAATACCATACGATTCACAATGTTGCTTACTTAGCAGGGGAAAGTGTAAGATACGCAAGGTTTAGCAAACTGAGGCTTAGTCCTAAAATTTAGTTGTCCAGTTTTTTTCATCTTTGAGGAAGGTCGGTAGGAGCGACAATAACATTTAGGTACGGCTTATGTATGACTCGTAACGGCTTTGAATTGATACTTCGTGCGACGAGTTCATGGTAACTTTCCAGAGAATCGAGTCGCTAAGATGCTGCGAAAGATAAATCTGGAGGCGCAAGTTTTGCTTGATACGACAGAGTCGCGGCGGCGAAGATTAGAGCTCGAAACGTCAAAGAGCAAACTGCCGGAACTCGAACGGGTCTTGTTTTATGTAAGGACTGCGGTCGATTTCGAGACGTTAGACGAAAAGGGGTTGGAGGCGAGAGGAATACGAACCGATGCGGAAATTGGGTAATTATACAGGGCGTTATTGAAATGACCTCAAATAATTTGATGAGCGTATCTCAAAATCGAAGGAGAACTGGCAAAAATGCTCGTGTTAGCGGTTCTAGTCTAGTATTCTAGAAACATAGCTCCAATAAAGTGGCCGTTATCACTTATTCTACTAAAACTAAAGCTTAGTATTCATTTTTGGCATTAACATTTTTGCTTATAAATACAATAGTAACTAACCGAAAGCTTATTAGCCGCTATTTGGCACCTAAAACTTTTACTTTTGTCTGATAATTTTGTAAGAATTTTTGTAGTGTTTAATATGTGGTTTATATTAATTGTGTCATGTATTATGTTGTGATCATATCCGACCAAACTGCTGATGTTACGTGCTTGTAATATTTTCCCAAGGAATTTTTAAAACTTGTGCGTAAACTGATCAATAATTTGTCTCGTCCAGTTTGTGTAAAGCAATAAAAGAAGAGTTAAAAAAGGTAACATGCAGAGCGCGACTAGTGGAGAACGAGGAGTGGCAACCAAAAGTTCAGGAATGCGAATCGCTTCAAGCGAAACTTCGTCAGAGTATGACAGAAAACGAGCAATTGCGCAGCCGTGTGATGGCATTAGAATGCGATTTGGAAGCGGTGAGTTTGGGAGGAAGCGTTGGGCAGTTTTTATATTGCGTTAACGGAAAATGCCAAAGTTACGTTTCCCGTTAATATTAGACGTATTTGGCATAGTTCTGATTAAACAGCTATTGTTAAATTCTAACCTCAAGAGCTTGAAAAATTCAGTACTACATCTTATGAAAATTCAGGACTCTTACAGATCTATAGAAAATACCTCAAATGGCAATGAAACAGAACAAGATATGGATATTTCGACTAAAAATATAATTGTGAATAGATAATAGTGTAATTAATTTATTAAAACTTTGTACCTACTTTATATACTTCAAGAAAAACTTCACAGTGTCCAGTATAAGCATCGCTTAAATGGTATCAAAGTAGCGTATATACAGGGTTATTCACGGTGACTATTAGACGTAAAAACTTGAAATGTTGGTTACTTATGTAAACGAATATGAGCTACCTATGTAAAATATTTTTGGCCATGCGGTGTTGTCAGATATATTCGTAGCGTATATCACTTTTCGTTTTATAAATGGAACATTCTGTATATTATTAGACGTTTATAGAAAATGGACTTACTGTAAAAACTTGCAATGTTGGTTACTTATGTAAGCGAGTATGAGCTACTTATGTAAAATAAACCCGTACAGCCAAACACTTGAATTTTTGGTTGGTGTTCCCTATTAAATTGCTTTATCATAATATAATATGAGAATGAACTTAATGCGTACAGGGCGTTCATAAGATAAGGCCCAATTCTCAAGATATAAAAATCCATGTTACTTGGGAATTTTAAATGAAACACCCTATATTTTATGTTGGCACTTAAATGAGCAATTAATTTGCCCTATAAAAGTACCAAACTATATTATATCTGACAACACCGCATGGCCAAAAATATTTTACATAGGTAAGTCATTTTCCATAAACGTCCAATAGGACACTCGCAGTGAATAACTCTGTGTATGCCAAAAATAATCTAGCTTTGTTTTATTTTAAATCGATACCCTTACTTATATACAGGGTGATAGAGGACAACTATTTTTGAAAGATCCCAATATTTTCTTTATAATGGGAGCTGAAATTTTCAAATTTTCAGGGCATGAGTAAAAGGATACGGCGAAGCTATGTTACCTTCGGTCGAAGTTAACTTTTCTTTTTCTTATGGGCGCCATATTGAATTTCGACAGTTTTAAAATACTCTTTTCAAATTCGGAAAAATGACAAAAATAAGATTTTAGGATAGTAGGCTTTGATATTGCTGCATTTATTTTCTATCAAGTTGACGATGCCAGCGTATCCCAAGTGAGTCTAAATTATTGTCAACAGTCAGTATCGTGAACGGCGTCGCCAGGGAATTTAGGAAGGCGGTACTGTTAGAAGAATGGAATTGTGTCAGTGGTTTATTTTGAAAAATATGACATTTTCCTTTTTCACCCTCTATCTACGTAAGGGTATCGATTTAAAATAAAACAAAACTAGATTATCTTTTGGCATATACACACGCTACTTTTACCTCAGAAACATAGGAGATCGAGCCAAAAGTTATATACAAAAATTAATTGGGGTATTACAAATACTCAGTTTTTTGTTTGAATATTATATATACAGGGGGAAAGTATCAATTTAGGAAGGTATCAACTTTCTTATTTTAAATGAAACACCATTTTTTAATTCTATATAAAATTCTGGACATAGACAAATGTTTAAGAGGAATACCTTACAAAAATGTCTTAATTTATAAAGCTAAATATGACAATCAAATAAAACGATCCACTATACAATCTGGAAACCCATAGGAGATAGGAAATAAAAGTTTCGTACAAAAGTTTCTTGGAATCTCCTGAAGATCGAAAATATTATCATTTTGTTGATACAGGGTTCCAGAGTGTGTGAAACACCCTGTATATATCGACAATTTTTCACTTTCACTTCGCACGCATAGTTTTCTATTCTATCTATTCGCATAGTTTAGGCAGAAATTGAGATTATGTGTTTTTTTTTTCAAATTTTGATTGCCTCATATAAAATTGTGTTGTGACGCTACTGATCCAGGTATTGCAACCAAAATGTAACCACAGACTAAGGACATGTTGCACTACTTAATCAGTTTGACAGATGCTCCTCAGCTTATATAGGGTGTCTCAAATAGGTGGTGCCGTTTTGGCGAATTCAATTAACAAAATCTCAAGAGTTTCGAATGGAACACCTTATATTTTTATTCAGATATCAATTCTAAGACAAAAAATAAGGTAAGTTTGTAATTTATCTTATATTTAAATTTTACTTGCTTTGTGATATATTATTCGAGGTTTAATATAACACCCGCATAAATTCTTGTTGAATTTAAAGACATTAGGTCACTTGTTAGCAATATTAGGTATTTTTTAAATAGCAAAGACATGATCCTACTTTTTTTAAAGACATTATACTTCAGATATACGAATGAAACCAATTGCTAACAGTACAGATTTAATAAAACTTCTGAATTCACATTTAAAGAAACATTTAGTGTTTAATTATCTAGCTTGATTGAAAGTATCAAGTAATAAAAATAAGTAATTAAAGTTTATAGGCTAACTAATCAAGGTAACAAATTTGAATTAATAAATATATAAAAAAAAAAATTAACCAAAAACCGTTCGTTAATTTGGTCCATAAAGTTTAGTTAAAAATAAAGGAATATCAAAATATTTAAAAATGTAGTTGGCTATGACATCACAATCTTTCTTTTTGACGCATCAAGGTATAAACAAACTTTGACATTTCTGTTTGTTTTTGTTGTTTTTCATATTTTTATTTAAAAAGTTCATAGTGGTCAAGTTTAATTATTTATTTTTGTTATTAGGCATTTTCAATCAAGCGAGATAATTAACTATTAAATGTTTTCTTAAATATGAATTCTAAAGTTTTACTAAATCTGTTAAAATGTTGTACTATAGAGTCGATTTTTCTCAAAATTTCCTCGTATTACTACACACCTTGTATTGTTAGCAATAGGTTTTATTCGTATATTTGAAGTATTATATTATTAAAAGATGTAGTATCGTGTCTTTGCTCTTTCAAAAATACCTTTAAATTCAACAATAATTCATGCGGGTGTTATCTAAACCTCGAATATCTCAAAAAGTAACTAAAATTTAACTTATCCTAATTTTTGTCCTAGAATTGATATCTCAATAAAAATATAGTGTGTTCCATTTGAAAATCATGAGATTTTGTTAATTGAATTCGCCAAAACGGCACCACCTATTTGGGATACCTTTTATAAGCTGAGACGCATTTGTCAAACTGATTGAGTAGTACATCATCTCCTTAGTCTATGGTTAAATTGTCTTTGCAATGCCTAGATTAGCAGTGTCACAACACACTTTTATATGGGGCAATCAAAATATAAAAAAACACATAGCCTCAATTTCTACCTAAACTATGGAAAATTTCATTGGAATTTCTTAAGAAAGTGACCTTTATTTTAACCAAGGATTGCAAAAATGTCAAAATATATAGAGTGTTCCATTTAAAATAACAAAGTTATCCATTTGTATTATCATTTATAGAAAAGGAAACCAGCTCCATTACTTGCCGTCTCACTCTAAATAAACTTTGCCGCACAAAATTCATATTACCGGAATCACTCAAGTTCGATAGATAGAGCCATGTTTTCTTGTTATCAGCGATCGCGATATTTAAAAGACGCAGAATAAATGATTGAGGTCAGCAGTTTCACGAGTGCGGGGGTGATGATCCGTCCCAAATCAATAACGTCCTTCACCCTCGATGCATCGATGTTGACAATAGATTATAGAAATTAAAACTTTAGATGAAATTTCACCGAGAAAACAGCTTGGAGCGACTCCGAGAGGAGCGGGATGTTTACAAATCCCAAGCGGAAGACCTACGAAAGATTAGGGAGGCTTACGCGCAATTGGTGGACAAACAACCAAACGCTTCGAAAATCGAACGAGAGTACTTAAAGGAGGTCGAGAAGAGGGACGAGAGGATTTGCGGTAATCAAATTTCAAGTGGCCCCCGTGTATTATGCATGTGACCGCAAATTGCGTTATTGTTTATGTCCGTAGATTTCGAGCGGGAGGTGTGTCAGTTGAGGCAGGAAGCGAACGTCCTAAGAAAAAGGATGTCCGACCAAAACTATCAAGTTCCATCCCTAATTGACCAAGTGAGATATATTCTCTCAAATCCCAGAAATCACTAGAAAATAGTGAAAAAAAAGGGATTGAACTTTTAAACGCCTTCGTCTAAATAATTAGGAAGCCTTCAAATTGAGTTATGCGATTTATTGTAAACTAAAAGAAATTGAAAGCCTCTTTTCAAAAGTTTTAAGGGTTTGTAATTGCTTATTTTGCAATGATTTGAAGTTTGAAAGGACGCTAAAAAATCCTCATTAATCCTCAAAATTCAAAGTCCCATTTCTAAGAAAACTGACGCCAATGTTCAGAGTTCAATTTTTATTAAATAAAAGATAATTGAAACACACTGCACTTGGATATTTGTTACTGATTCAGCGAGTGTTTTTGGAATAAGTGCATTTTAAAAACCGCAGCAATTTTTTTTGCTATTAAAAAAATTGCGTTTTAATGGGTTGAATATGACAATTTTAAAACTAATAGTTCTTAAAGCATAAAAATCTTGTATAGGGACTCCACTTATATTATTGAAACATTGAAAAAAAAAAAACTAAAACAAAATATAAACCACAGTGTATAAAAGGTTTCTTATAGTGTAGTTTACATTCGTATTTTGTAAAGCCAAACTTAATTTCAACAAATGCATTTCTCATTAAGGGTGATAACGTCACTCTCCTTGGTGTCACCTTGGACGATAATCTTAGTTTGAGGGCTCATATTGACGTTTTATGTCACACATTAGCATCCATGCTTTTCGAGTTTAGAAGGTTGAAAAACACACTTAGTACGGACGTCCTAAGAAACGTTTATTTTGCATTATTTCTTTCTAAAATGTATTATGTAGTTACACTGTGGGGAAGTTCTAACCACGCAATAAGGTTTTCCAAAAGAAGGCAATTAGAATTTTATCAAACCTCAATTACCGGGAATCAAGTCGACCTTGTTTTTTTAGTCTTCGAATAATGCCAGTACCTTCCATCTTCATATATTGTAGCCTTAATGAAATCAATAGAAATAAGACAATAGTATATTATGCAACAAGTGCGGTAAACCGCATTTGACTCAGGAGTTTATTTGACAGGAGCGGAGCGAGTCTTTAATAAACGAGTAAGTTAAAAAGCTTATCGATTTGTGTTGCATACTACACATTTTCTTAAAACAACACGAATACATTCACTGGCACGATCGTCAGAATTGACAAATGTCGAAATTCAAAGCGTGGCAAATATCTCCGAAAACATCCGATTGCTCCCAAATCCGTGCGGCAAAATCCCGTAAATATCCGAAGTGGCTCGGATTCGTGGGAAAGGAAACTGACGTGGTAAAGTGACGCTTCCCGCACGCTAGGTCGATGGGTAATTAGATATTTTACAGACGGGAGTGGAAAAATTATATTTTACATTCAGGCATTCGACAAGAATTTCTCATCTTCTGCGAATACCTCGTTATCGTTTAAAAAAACTAAAAATAACTCTTTAAATCTAGCATTTTACAATGCTCTTTCAACAAATATTTAAGCTTTGAGGACAATGAAGCCAGTGTTTATTAATAATTGTTTCTATATCAATGATTAATACTTTAGTTATAAATTCTAATTGCCGCAATTTGTCTATGTTATATTTTTGTATTTTTGTATATAAATTTATTTGTAAAAACTGACATGCTATATATCCATAATCTTGTATTACGTGGTGAAATAAATAAACTAAACTATATTTCTCTTCAGTTTGGTTGCTGTCATTAAATTTCGTGTGTGACGTTGTAGAATTATATTTAGGATTATATCGAACAAATCCTAAAACCATTATTTGATGCCTTTTTTCCCGTTGTTGAGTAGACTGTGCCAAAATCTTCCGAAAATGTCTTTCAGAGGTTGTTTTTTCTCAGGATATTGGCAGTGTTACAATTTACTTACTGATACTAAATCTCAACGCATTAACAGCCAAAATCCCAACTTCCCTACTCCCAGTACGCTTTGTTTTCTATATTATGCGTCCAAAACCCACTTGTTCAAATTCTTTATATATAGAATAGGACTCAAGAAAAATATCAACTATTTTTGGAAAGGTACATGGTGTCATATATGAAAGATTGCTTGCTTCTGCTGATCACCATTAAACTACTTGCTATCAAACTATTATACTTACAGCATTAAATTGCAACTAAAAGAGTGCGTTACAAATATAGAAATACAAAATCTCACACAGGAGAAGATTTTTAAAAAATGTCAATTTTCCAAAAACACTCTATAATTCTGAAAGGGTAATAGATTCAGGTTCAGTTTTTACCAATAAGTTTTTGATGAAAATTGAATACCACATATCTGAGGGTTTCCCTTAAAGCACTCTTGGCATACCTCATTAATCTCCTTCTGTTTACTCCACGCAAAATAATTTACCATACCTCCTGTGAGACTTTTGCAGGATCGCAAGTTATATAATCAACCCCCAACCGAGCAAACAGAAACCGCCAAACCAAACTCGTCATCAGCTACACCAAGTACCGACAATCCAGCATTTTGGCCGTTATCGGAAAATCTTCCAACGAAAAAGGTGATAAAAGGCTTTACCAAACCCAGTCGGCCGCACGCGACCTTAAAAACCGACAATGCCAAACCAACGGACCAACATTTTGCGCCAGAACGGTCCAAGTCTCCCACTGGAGATTTTTTAGCGGAATGTAACATGTACTCCCAGCAGATTAGCAGCAAATATGATCTAGTGCGAGGAGTCCTTTCCACCAATAAAACTGCCGTTGCTCACGTTCAAGTTAAAGGTTCGTCCACACTTCGCGTCGTATGCAAATGCGGAATGGACGAATCGGAAATATTCAGGGACTGTTCGAATGAATCGCTGATAATTTGGGGTACCAGAATGTGACGGCGTTCAATATTACACACCACGAAAAAGTTAAATAAATTGAATACTCTCGTGCATCATGTTAATTTATTTATCATCACTATAAGTTAAATTGGTCTTGATCAGAAACGTGAAAGGTGTGAAGTTGTTCTCTTAAACATTTTAAGGGTCTACCCAACTTACGTTTTTCATACAGTTTCAAAATTGTATTTGGTTAGATGTGCGTCAGGCATTCAAATCAAGTTATCAACTGAGGGACGAGTTTAGGTTTATGCCTGATCCTGCAGAAAAAAAATTAGGGTTTATATATTTAGATCACGAGAAATATTGTACTCCCATGAACTCGATTATATGGAGGCAACAAATTTTGCTGCCTTCTATTGATGTCAGCGTATTAGAAACCAGTCATCGGTTGGTTCCGATATGTTTTAGCAAAGCTCTCGCCCCGTGAATTAAAAGGAAGCACGTAGAGATCTCCAAACGATATATCGTTTTTACGACGTATATATAAATTTGTTTGAGGGTTTAACCGCAGGCCTACCTCGCATGGGTCTCTCTTTGTAACCCTCAATAAATAGATTCGCAATTCCACAATGACTTTCCAGAACCGTACTTAGGTACTTTATGCATTCAAATGCTGTAAGCTGACAGATTTGTGTAGAGTTTCATCGGTGAGATTCCTCCATTATTATTAGTGCATTCAGTGAAAAATATATTCTTACTTTAAAACGTTTATTATAAATGTAAATAAAGGAGTAAATTTATCTGTAAAACAATGGTAGATTATTTATAAGAACAAAGTTATTCTACATCAAAATAATCCTTATCGTCACTGGACTCGTCCCCTACATTAATAATTATTTCTGGCATAGTCGACTTCTGTCTTCTTCTTCGATGACATGTTCTACACATTTTTTTCAACTAGTTGCAGAAATTTTTAATTAATTCTATTGCCCCAGAACTAAATATCGGCGACGTGTGGTTTCCTATTAAACTGGGTTTCAGCTGTCCCCATACCAACTCTATCGGATTAAAATTGCAGTGAAATGGCTTTCCTAGGAAAATATTTTACAGTCGTTATGTTAAATCTTAAATTAGAAATCAGTTTAAGTTGTCTAATGTGTTTTTAATATAGGAGATCAATCTCTCTGTTTTACGAAGATTTATAAAAAGCACACTATTATGAATTAATATAACAGTTTAATCAAAGAAAATTTCCCTGCTCTTAAAATACAACAATCCGCACGGCACACTTGTCGGCTAATATCTTAAATACGGCCCTGACTTGCGGTACACGAGCTGAAAAGCATGGTCCCTTCTGGTTTACAACAGGCGGGTCTTAAAATCATTCCGAAGTCAAAACCATAAAAGGTTGAAAAAACGGTATATTTTTTGGAGAACTCTACTTAGTCGACAACCTTGCCTTGCCGAATTTCGAACTGTGGCAAATCACGAACCTAACTTTTAATATTAATTGATTGCAAGTAGTACCATAATATAAATTCAAAATTTTGTAAAAAACGAGAAAAAAATATTGAAATGTTTCATTCCCATTATGTAAAAAAATAAATTGGTTTTTTATTTGGCCCCTTTCAACACATATTCGATAACTAGAGTAATTAAGTTACACCCTTATTATTGCGATTAAACCTTATAGTTTATTGAAAAAAGATACAAATGTAACTTAAGTTTACAAAGAGAGCAGCAGTTTCAGCGATTGCGTCGTAAGCGTTCCTTTTGTCTTAATGGAATGCGATGTTTCATTTACCTTCAGGATTTCTCGCCTACGTTCTTTCTCGACGACGCTGGAGACGGAGGATGGAGGTGGCGAAATTCCATTTGGCAATGATCTGCGATCAAATATTTGTTTAGTGAACAACGGCGAATTTTAGTAATTATGCGGCAATAGATAAGAAATCATTAACGTGATCCATAATGTCAAATTTATAGTATCGAATTTTACGGAATGCGGCGAAAATGGGGCAATAAATTCGATACCTGCTGATAAAGGGCTATAAATAAGTTGACGCGGTCCATGTTTTAAATGAATTTCGAAAGATGAATTTCCATCGATTTCTTACGGCAAATAAAATTATATGACATTCAGGCCTTGTTTGGTACATTTCAAAAAGTGTACAGGTATTTGTTTTGGATTTGTATCAGGGCTCATAAAATAATTTTTTTCCCAAAATATTTTAGTTATTTTCGCACTTAAAAATTATTTACAAATGTTTTTATTTCTATATATAATTCTGTAACTAATTGATACAACATTTTCTTGAAATAAGGTGATTTTCAGAATTCAGAATGTTATTTTTAAAATGGCTTTTTTATTATTTTTATTATTTATCACTGTTTTGAAAAAAATGTTTTTAAAACTGTAGCATCAATGACCAAATATAGATATTTTTGCATATTACGATTCCTCCAAGGAATATTTATAGGACACCATGATTGTTTTTAAATTTAAGTGCAACTTTGCCAACTTATTGCATTTTTTTTAAACAAGTTTTCCTAATCTATATCTTTCAATCTGTTGCCTCTGTATTATTAAAAATGAATCTTACATTTTTACATGGCAATGAAAAGTGACATCGGTAGAACTAATACTTAGAAATTAATATCAAAACACAAAACTAATCAACATTACAAATACTCATATCAGCATTTGTAACCTAAACAGGTGGAGGATCTTACAGCTGCAATTTATTTATACTTTGTGAATCTAGAAGTGAGGCCGATATTTCTTCTTAATGTCCCAATTTTGCATTGGAGAAAATGATCCTTTTTTTTGCATTTTTCGACGTTAGATTTTATTTTAAGTAATGTAATTTTTTGTTTTGAACTACGTGTAAGAATTGTTTAAAGATGAAAGGATTCACAAGACATCAGACGCCTTATATTCAAATTTGAAGTTGTCTATGCTATCAATATCGGAACAAATAACAAAAAAGCAATCGGACCTGACAACGTACCTATTGAACTAATAAAGCTCCTCGAACGCATTGTGGAACTCTTCAACCAAATCTACACGAGTGGAAATTTACCTGATGAATGGCAGAAATCTACCTTCATCCCAATCCCAAAAAAACAACATCCAAAAAAGTGTGAAGACTACAGATTAATGAGTATCATGAGCCATCTGCTAAAGATTTTCCTTAGAGTGATACATACCAGGATAAGAGTTAAGTGTGTTTGGTTTCAGGCACGGATTTGGGACAAGAGAAGCCCTGTTCTCCTTGACCGTATGACTGCAAAAATGCCGAGACCAGCGTATTTGCCTGCTTCTGATTATGAAAAGACTTTCGATCGTGTACAGCATACAAAACTCATTGAATCGCTACAAAGAGCAAGAGTCGACCGAAGGGACCTCCAAATTATAAGAAACTTATATTGGAACCAGACGGCAAATGTATGCATTGACAATAAATTGAGCAATGACATAAGGAGATGACGGGGTGTATTCTCCCTCCCCTTTAACTTGTATTCAGATATTATTTTTAAAATAGCACTAGAGAGGACGGATGTAGGCATTAATGTAAATGGGGTACCAATAAATAACTTGAGATATGCAGACCACACTGTTATCATGGCAGAAAGCGTAGAAGACCTCCAACGACTAATTGATAGTATGAGCACCATCAGCAAAGAAATAGGACTAAATATAAATATAACAAAAACTAAATTTATGGTATTTAGCCGCTCACCACATGAAAATGGTCATCTGGAACTAAATGAAGCGCGCATAGAAAGAGTCAGAAGGTTCAAATACCTAGGGTCTCTGATTTCAGATAACCTTGACCCGGATATATAGGAATTAAAAACCAAATTGAGATCGTGCATTCCAGTTTGTGTTCTATGAGGTCAGTATTCTGCAATAATAGCTTGAATATGACTCTTCGACAGCGAATTGTTAAATACTACATATGGTCCATCCTTCCATACGGAGTTCAGTCTTGGAGGCTGAAGATTAATACCCTAAACCGATTGGAAGCATTTGAGATATGGACCCATCGGCGAATCTTAAAAATTTCGTGAACTGCAAGAGTGACAAAAGCAAAGACACATCGTGAGCTCGTCACATCAGTCAAGCGAAGGAACATATAATGAGGGGCGAAAAATACCATCTCCTCAAAACGATTATGGAGGGAAAGGGGTAGACGAGGAGTTGGTAGGAAGCAGATGTCCTGGCTACGTAGCATAACTTGGACTGGATGCCGGGCCGCGGGAGACGTGGTTGCAAACATCAGATAACTGATAGGGCACTGAAAGAAAGATTTTTTTTCGATTTAATAGATGGTTTATGCTTATACTTATAATACTTTTAATTAATTAATAATTACCAATCTGCAAATAGCCTTTGACTGATTTGATGTACATTTCGTTAATTTCCAATAATTGCGTTATAGACTGAGTTTAAAAATTTAATATAGCTTTAAAAAGATTTAGAGAAATACGTCAATAATGTTAATAATACGTAGTAAACGCCTTTTTTGTTAAATAGTGATAAGTAATTTAGTACTTTGAAACACTTCCTATACTGGTCTGAAAATAGCCTTTATTGATGTACATTTGGTTCGTTCCCAATAATTGTGCCTCTCCCAATAAAGCCTTCGAAAGATGGAGTGCCTTTTTAATTATTATAGCTTTAGAGAGATTCAGAGAGCCCGAAAAACTACAGCAAATTGAATAGTTTGTAGAGGTCTCCATAGTATATACCGTTTTTACAACCTTTTATGGTTTTGACTTCGGATTGAGTTTAAGACCCGCCTGTTGTAAACCGGAAGGGACCATTCTTTCCGGCACGTGGACAACAAGCCAGGGCCTTAATAAAGATGTTAGCCGACAAGAACTGTCCCGTGCGGACTGTTGTATTTTAAAAGTAGGATTTAAAAGTAAGAATGGATTTTTCACTGCATGGACTAATAATAATCGAGGAATTTCACCCACTTAACTCTACCGAATTACCGATCTCGAATGTCATCGAATCTATTTATTGAGGGTGACAACCTAAACGAGGTAGAAGTGAGGTTAGACCTTCATAAAAATTGACCAAATTCGAATACCGTATTATGTCGTAAAAACGGTATATAGTTCGGAGAACTCTACCTACAAGCGCTAATCATGCAAAAATAAAATGTTATTCTCACTCACCACACTGGACCGCCGCATTACTTGACCTCTGACTGCGTCCTCTACCGCACAATAGATTCTTAATTTTGCCGACGTTGCCAACGATAATACCCAACCACACACCCCCGACTAACCACAGAATACAAAAATAAAAACTACATTTAGCACAGTTCGGTTTATTGCCTCTATCAGGCTTGAACTCGTCCTCGGCTTGAGATTCATTGGTTTGGGTAGCCTCATTTTGCTGCCGTTCTATCCTGAGCTTCGGAATATACGTTTTCGTGTTCCCACAAAACGCTTTTGTCATGTTTTCATTTAGATAGTCAACCCAGTCCTCGTGTTCGCAATTCCACGGGTTGTTATCGACCAGAAGAAAGAACTCATTTTCCACCTGTAGCTTATCGAGTATGCTCAATGGCAAACGATCTAGCAAGTTGTTCTCGAGATTGAGCACCGAAATTCTCGGAAAACGGCTAACGTTAAAATTCGAAAAGTCCCTTAACACGTTATTAGAAAGATCTAGAGAGAGTAGGGCGTTCTTGGCCGGAAACGCGTCCACGTTAAAGTCTCTTAAGAAGTTGTCGCTCAGATTTAAAGAGGTTAGACTGTCAAACTCTTCGAAAGTTGCGTTTTCGATTTGAGAGACGTGCGAGCTGGTTATATGGATAGATCCGACTCCTTGGAAACCGTCGAACGCCGATTGGGATATTGCCGGGAGGAAACTGTCAGTTATGTTTAGCGAAGACACGGTAGTCTTCGTAACTCTCGCTATAATTTCCTCAGATATGGTTGTCGATTCGAGTCCGGTACAATGGAGTTCAACGCTGACCATTCTGCAGTCATATTTGCAACTGACTCTGAAACGGATACTAAGACTTAGAATTAATAATATTCGAATTATACAAGGCGCGTCACAAATTATGTGTTAGAAAATCATAATTTTTGAAATGGAATATTTAGTAGTTGAAATCATTTAAAACTATAAGACTTAAATTTAAAATTTCAATTTTAATTCATTAGTTAATTAACTTTAAAATTTTGAAATTGTTTTGATTCATTTTAAAATTTCAAAAACGGCTTAATTAGTTTTAAAATTTTAAAAGTGGTTTAATTTATTTAAAATTTTCAAAAGTGTTTTAGCATAAGTTAATATTGCTTTCCATTTTTATATCAAATTTGATGCACACCTTTTAAGAACAAACGGTACTTTTGTGGTAAACAAAAAATAATAAGCATTTTCATGCGTGACGAAATTGTTAAAATATCAAAATTGTTGTTTTGTATCCAAAATTAAACCGGCAATTTAAATTGAATTCAAAAACTATTAGAAAGAAAAAGTCCTTGTGGACTGTTGCTTATATAGTTTTGTTTTTCTTTAAAATGGGAAAGTATTGAATGGAATTGTTGTGTGTTATTGATAGCTTAGTTTTTGTGATACAGATTTCGGTTATTTTTGAAAGCATTGATAAAGTTTCAAAATAATCTTATACATTTTTTAGACACATTGATCGTTTCCAACATTTTGTCTGAAGCAGCCTGTATATTTACAGACCATAAAATTTAACCGTTTCCCAAATGCAAAATTGGTACTAAGAATAAATATTGGCCTCCTTTGAAGATCTTAAAATTGTCGCTGGAAAGTCTGCAACGGCATATACGTGTTTGTAAATTTATAATAAAATATAATTAAAGGTTTTGGTTCGTTATTTATTTTGAAATTAATTTCTTATTAGTTCTACATATTTCTGTTTTTATTGCCTAAAAAATTCATAATTTGTATTATAAAAAACTGATGAAGAGACAGAAAACCATTTTAAACTAAACTGAGGTGGCTTTTACTTGATGAAAATCCATTTATCAAAATAAATAAGAACTAAAAGTTCAGATTTTCACGAAATTATATATTATGACATGACAATTGTTTCGACAACACCGTGTCTTTATCAAATGTCATTTTAAACATTTTAAACTGACCTAAAATTACAAAAAATAATTAAAGCTTAAAAAGAGCTTGACCTTTATTTATTGATTAATTTTGGAGTCTGCAGATCCACAAATTTTGGAGAACTTAATATTTAATTGCTTGTTTAAGTTCGTTTTAAAATAGACTGTGAATTAAATTGTCTATTACCGTAATCCTCAAAAACTCTTTTTCTTTGTTGTTTCAGGAGCGACCTCAACCTCGGATAGTGCCCAAGGGATTATCACGCGGTAGTCAAATTTTCAAGCAGCACCGTGTTCTGCATGGGTAAATAACTTCCTTTCTCTAATTTAACCCCGTTTCATGCCTGATTCGTTGCCTACGAATTCCGAATACTCGTTGTCAGAATTTCTTTATACTATCACAGCTGTTTTGCATGCGAGGAGGTTGTTGCCAACTATAGTTCAAAGAGTTTCAAATCAAATTTTTATTGTCTTATCATTCGTGTTGATTAGTTTGTTTGCTTAAATGAAATTGTTTAAAAAATACTTGTAGTCCACTGTTTGACTACCATTAAGTGCATATAAATGTTCATTTATATGCACTTAAACTTCGTTGAATTCTTTATTATCATATTAGTATTAAAGAATATTGAAACGAAATACAAATACTTGCGACAAAAAAAGTTTGCTAGCAACGACAAATTAATAAACTGAGCGGAACAGGAAATAGACGCGATAAGCTTAATCTAGGCAATTATTTGGTAAAAGTATTACGGCATTATACACACTCCAAATAGAAAAACTGTTGCGACTATTTTGTAATAAATTGTCTACGACTTTGAAGCTGGCCCACTCCTATATATAAGGTGTCTCCCTGTTAAGTAATTGTTTTGATTGTATCAAAATGTAACTGAGACAATAATTCGTTTCGAGAAAATTTTCTTTTTTTTCTTTTCTTTTTTTTTCAGGCTAAAACATACCCCAATTTAAATCGTTGCGTTTTAGTTCCCTACGTATATCATAACTTTTGGGATGTATGAATGTATGAATGAAAGACGATCCGTTGAAATAAATAAAAAGGTGGCAGTTTCGTCTTAACATAAAACGTGGCGAGTATTAAGAGCAGAAATAATTTTTTTTAATTGTATATAACGTATAAAGTATTGTTAAAAATAATTCCTGGGACAGTGGACAATAAACAAAGAGTACTTACATTTTAAAAATTCCCAAAGTCAAGAAACCAAATAGCTCAAGAAACATCACGGCTTTCGCATTTCATTCGCGCCAAATATCCCGCATTCGCGACGATTGTGTTTGAACTAATCAGTACGTAATTCACCAAAATTCCTCACGATTTATCTTATCTCAACATCCGAAACGATCAGTTTTTCAGCGGAAATGTTTTCTTAATAAGGTAACTTTTCGACATCCTTTGTAGTGCGTAGTTTAAATATTTGTTTTATAATGATTTAGTTAATTGCTTGGAAAATGAACTAAATTAAAATATATGGGAAAATGACTGACATTTGCAAATTTGTTACTATTGGGTGGCGCTACGCAACGGACCATTGTCTAACTACATAATTTAGATATTAGTTTTGCAGATAACTGTGCATTTTTTTGTGGCGTTGGCGTTACTGCCAATCACTGGAGTCACTTTAATCTTTTTTGAAGATAAGGGCACAGTTACAAAATGTGCTTCTAAAATATATTTAGGAACAAATTTTTCGGTGAACCACGTAAACTGGAATAGCAACGGCGTGATAGAAAAGTGAGGTTTTTTTTTACTATAAAAAGAAAAGGTTGTCTTTCTCTTGTTCATTGATACAAAACTTAAGAATTTACGTTAATGCTTTTCTTGAAGGATCTACCTGTTTGTCCAATATGAATTTTAGGACAAGATCCACATTTCAAACCACAACACCTGATTTTTGGGATTTTGATTTATTGTTTTTTAAATATTTTCCTATTGTGTTGTTAGTTCTGAAAGCTATTTTTAAACCACATTTTGACAAATTTGAAACTTTTTCGTTAGGTTCTCCTATGTATGTAATTGTTTTAAATTGTTCGTGTTCTGTATTTGGTTTCGGATAAATAGAGTTTAATGTTGTTTGTATTTGTTTTTTATTTATAATTTTATCTATAATGGACGGATTGTAGCCGTTGTTCAGTGCTATTTGTTTAATGATATTAAGTTCTTTGTTGTAATTTTCTGTTGAGAGTGGCGTATTAAGAGTCTGTGTTTAAAAGAGTTAAATGCGGCCATTTTGTGTGTATAAGGGTGATTTGAGCTGTTATGTATGACTGTGTCCGTGTGTGAAGGTTTATGATATATTCAAAAATCTAATTTGTTTTGCACTTTCGTAATAGTTAAGTCTAAAAAATTAATAGAGTTATCCTGTTCAATCTCGATAGTGAATTTTATACGATTATGTATTGAGTTAATGTAATTTAAAAAAGAATTCAATTATCTGTCCGTTCCAACAAAGCAAGCAAAGACATCGTCCACATATCTACACCACCATAAAAAACTTTTACTTAAAGGATGTTCTAGTATGATATTTTCCAAATTATCCATAAAAATCTCGGCTAACAAAGGACTAAGTGGGTTTCCCATAATCAAACCTTCTTTAGAGATATAAATCTGTCCATTAAATTCAAAATAATTTTGGTATAAAGATACTATTAAACAATCTAATAAATCTTGTTTCACCAATTTGTTAACCTGTTTCCGAGTTAGGGTAAAATCTACTAAATCTATCACATCCATAGGTGGAATACTGGGAAATAAGTTTTGTACATCAAAAGACAATAGAGTTGCGTTAGAAGGGATTTTGTTATCTTTAATTTTGTTGATTAATTCAAAAGAATTATTTATTGCAAATTTTGGTTTAAAATCTGTGTGGAACTTTAAAATATTTACTCATTTTGTAGAGAGTTTAACTGCTGGAGCTGTTACATAAGACACCACTGGCATATCTTGTTTATGTGTTTATGTGTTTTTTATTTTGATAAATGAATTTTCATCAAGTAAAAGCCACCTCAGTTCAATATATTAGTAAATGTCAAAGTACTAAATTTTTGAGGAAAATTTGTTTACAATTAGTTCTTTAAATTTGGCAAACTTGCAAATTTGACGTGAACAGAAACTTATAATAGACGATGAGAAAAATGAGGCTCTCTGTTTGTCTGACATTGCAATGACACAAATGACATTGCAATTAATAACGTCACTTTAAATATATCCCAAAAACTAACTAACCAAAACTAACCGAAAGTGAGGTCCCCCGAAAGCTTTTTCTTTCGTCCCTGCAACACTGTCACTACTGGCAACGTCGCGCCGGGCGCAGGACGATATGATTCATCCGCGTTGAAGTGAGATTGCGTTATAAATCTAAGGCGAGTGGTTTTCACGGAAGGGTGTTTTTCAGTCTGGAAACTTACAACGAGATAATGGTGGACTAAACCGCGTTGCCAATTAACTAATGAAAACGGATCGGTCGGAAATTGAAATAAATTAAGGGAATGCCGGTTGTGATTTTTACGGCGCCAGTCCGTAGCCAAGCTGCGCAGCATGAGAGTTTTTCACTTGCAGCTGAACTTTATTAATTTATGAGATGTAATGCCAAGATATATAAAATTTGATAAAGAGAAGTTAACAACTTTAAGTTTGAATGCCGTGCCATAGCCACATACATAGTTAGCGTTTTAAATAAGCGGTTTTGTGAAACGATTTTCTTTTGATACCTGGGGAAAACTGTTTCATTCGGACATTATTATCTATAACATTATAACCTGAAAATCAAGGTTTCACAGTATTGAAGTTATTGTCGTTACTCAAAACAATTTTTGATAAATCTACGCGGTGCAGGTAGTATCTAGACTAGAGTTTTATGTGTATATATATATATATATATATATATATATATATATATATATATATATATATATATATATATATATATGATATATATATATATATATATATATATATATATATATATATATATATATATATATATATATATATATATATATATATATATATATATATATATATATATATATATATATATATCACTTCACTCTACGAAGAACAAGATGCCATATTTAGAGCCTGTTCTTCACTGGGCAATTTTGGGAAATACCGCATCATATACACAGACAATTAAAATTGCTGGTGCTAGTTAGTTGGTCTCTGTGTTCCGTTCTGTTACATTGTGCATAGATTGATGACAATACAGAGAAAAATTAATCGGGAAATCAGAAAAATACTGTTTAGAAAAAGCATACCTTTATTCACGTTTTTGAATGTTTGCCATCTTCAAATTAGGAAACACCGTTTGACATAGCGCAGTAAAGTTTGCAGGAAATTGCAAAATCAAATTATTTCCTGCAATAAATCTTGCCTGTTGCTTCATATGGCGCAAGTCTCTATCATTCCTAGCTATTCCGCTAGGCAAATAATTTTTCAGCTCTTATACGCATGATCGAAAATGCGTTGTGCATTGAGTTGTCGAGTGCGAGTTACTTTTAATGGATTCTTAATTTACTTAATATTCAAGACAAGCACTTATAAGCTGTAAACGTTGATCTACAATTAAAAGTTTCTATTCGATGCGTGTCTCTCGCAATTTTAATTATTTTTCCGGCGCTTGAGGATATTTTCCGGATTATATTTTATTTTCGTTGGAAATTTTGCGTTTAAAATAAAGAACGCCGACGAACCGGAACCCAATATTCCGCGTATTTTTCAAATTTCCACGGCGGCTCTGGGCCTCGAGGGATTATAATGGCCGCGCTAGACGCTCAAAGATTTATTTTTCAGTTCGGCTTTTCCGCGTTTTGCCGCCGGCGGGAAATGAGTGGCGGATTAAGATCCGTTTTGTTCGTTTTCTTGTGCCTTTTTTCTTTTCCAATTCATTACTGAAAAAAATAGAATAACGATTAGATTGGGTACAATTTTTTATTATATTCGTTCTACAAATACATCCATACAATATTCCAATGATACATTTTTTTTGCAAATTTGTCCTGGAGTTTAAACGAAATATTATATAATAAACGCCACGCTAGTCACGATTTTAATTTGGCCAGTGAACGTTGTGTGAAAACATCCGGTCACTCCAAAACATTTGAACTGAATTTTACGAATGTCTGCGACTGTATTGAGAATAGGTTGCCCTTCAATGCGGAAAAATGTCTTCACCCTTAACTTGAAACTACTTTGATATTGATGAGCCTTGATATTTTTCGTCCAGTCTATCCAATGCATTCTTTCCCGTATATGCAGATATAGCTGTAAATTCCTGGTATAACAAACAAAATTTTGTCTTTGACAGATCGAAGATGTTGAGAGATTCTTGGACAACCTCGTAAATCTCATCTCATCACATCACATATCAAAAGAAACATAACCTCAAAACCGAAAATCGGATCATATGACACATAAAATTAATGAGTTTCAGTGGTTGAACATGTCTTATCGAAGGACTTTAATTTGGCTTGTTTTGCACATGGGTTAGCAAAAAGCTCTTTTCTTACTTTAGGAAGCCAAGATGAACTCTGATATGCAAAACAGAGATACATGCAAAATAGTTTTACTTTTTGCAGTATTCAACTTTATATTTGAAATTGAAATTTATTTATTTAACAAGCAGGTAGAAACCTATGATATTCTCTTTTTGATTTATTTATTTAGTCGTTTCTTTTAATCGGCATAATTTAGTTATCATATAGAAAATATCATCAGTAAACGTTATCGTATGCTAGGAATTGCTTTACTTTTTCTCCCTTTTCTGAACATCGCAACTCTCGCGATTTCAATTCAGTTCGAAGCTTAAAAATCTTATAAAAATCCTTATATATCGATGACATAAGCTCTATCTTAGCATAGTTAGAATAGTAATATTGCGTAATATTATGAATATTTTATAGCCATTTTCATTCCGCTTGCACACAACACAATGTAGGATGCTACTTCTCCTAAATATTCAATTATCATCGAAAATGGCACTTGTTTATGTTTTGTACTTGTTTGATTCTATAAAAAGTCCATAATAATAATAATGATATGTATATTTTGTGGAAATATTCTTCTTTCTTTTTGGTGACGAAAAGTCCATATCCTTCCGTAATCGCTTGCGCGTTTTTCTTCGGCCGCTCGCAGAAAAAGAGCAAGCAAAACAAAACGGGGCGTAGTAACAATATCGCGGAAATGGCAGAACTATTTGTGGGGTTCATCCACCTGAAAGCATTGCATCGGGGTTGTCCCCCTTCAATACCGGCGTGTATAAATTCGATT